TTTTTTCTGTTGTTTATTTTACTTTGATTTTATCTGTTTTTCTTATCATTTATCCTACACTTTTTTCTCCTCATCTTCCTTATTCCTTTCCTGGCAAGAGCTTATCTCAGACCTCCTCGTTGGTTCTTGCTGGACACAACTGTTCTACAAGTACTACATTTTTTATATAATTTTCAAGTATAATAAATATTAAATTGTCCACATATTCCTATGAAATTTTGTTGATCGGTTGTGACTAACATGGGGTTATTTATTGAAGAATTTATCATTTTCAGCAAGCTTTTATAACATCAACTTATTAATCTAATGTGCACGTAATGTTGGATGAAATATCAGTGAAAATCACGGTGAAAATAGTTAATAACTGCTTTAATATTTCCACCAAGTTGCCTTCATATACCAAAAACACTTTTCTGAATTATGCGTTGTTTACATCAGGTCGAGTATATTAAATATGCTGCAATAATATATTATTCACTAGCGCTGATGTACGGCACGCCGTGCTGTCGGCCGGCCGACCGGCCTACTCGTGGTGACGTCACGCGTCTGTTGTCAGGCCTTGTACTCTCGGTGGTAACGCCCTGTGTCATAATTTTATGTGTTTTATGTGCATATGAAGACTCACATTTTATTACTGGATAGGCCCTATAGTCATCTAAAATATAGTAATAGACTTAAGATCAATCTCTGAGTTTTATATTGTCAGCACTTTATGATGCTGTTGAATAAACATAATAACTACACTTGGGGTGGTACCTGAATATTTAAATTAAAGCTGCTTGTTTCCCTGGATACTGACATCTCTTTGCAGGGAGAACGAATTTCGATTAAAATTTATCATCTCTCCCTTTCCTTTTTTGCGTCGGAAAAAACTTCTCTAAATGCCAGACTTTAATTTCGAGTAACTTGTCTCCCTCACTGCTCCCTAATATCACTGCGCGGTACAAAACGATACAAAAGATTTTTTAATTTTAAACTACCCTCGGCTATATTTTCCTGTGTTTGTGCTCTTTTGTCGGCAAAATGTAGGAGTCGTTTTTGCGCCTCCATTTGTCGAAGCATAATGTTTTAGTACAAAGAAGGGTGAACATACAAGCTCTTATTTGGTTTTCTGAGGATGAAGTTTGTTAATAAATTTGTAGAGTCTCTATGGTTCCCATTCATTTGATAATGCTAACGCTAATTTCTTTTCTGGTCTAAGTACGGACCACCTGGCAACGCTGCTGGACCACACCAGTCAAACAGGTTAGCCAGCTACGATACTATAACATAAAGACTAAATCTTTCATGTGTGAAATATGTACTGAGAGGGACGTAAAATTAGTGGTGTTGGAAGCGTATAAATAGACTGCCGCCAAAGAAATGAGATATACCTTCTTCCACCCGCTACAACCCCCAATTTTCAACCCCCACAAATTTTTTTCTGAAAATGATCAGTAGACTTTGCAACGCGAGAAAACGAAGATTAGGCGATAAGTAGACTTTGAAACGTGATAAGACGAAGACTGAGCGATTTTTATTTTTTTCTTACCTTTGTCTCTAGCTCCGCCGCCACTGGACCGATTTTAAAAAACTACAAAGCTTTTCCGTCCTTGGCACAGTAGTAACCTTGAGTAGAAATTTCATGGAAAGCGGAGAACTACTTTCTAAGTTATAGGCGGTCCAAGGATTAGCGAACCGACCGACAGACAGACGGAAATGAGTGACATGGTTTTTGGTGATGTACAGTAATTTTATTTTTTTTTGCAATTCAATAATACGTAACCAATAGGCGTGATTCGTGGAAATTGAGGATTCTATACAAACGACGGAAAAGGAAATCTCACAACCTGCGACAACAGGCCAAGAGTCAGCAACGTTGCATAAGTGCTGGTTACACTGCGGTACGGTCTTCCATGTTTTATCTTTAGGGAATTGTTTTCTAACATCCATCTGTACACATATATGTAATCGGCCTCTATGCGTGAACGTTTGTTTGTCTAAACTCAATAACATACGCTGTTCAGTTTTGTTTCACCACCTTGAAAATTGTCTTGTCAACGAATCAGTCTTCCACATTTATGATTGTAACTGCCAGTATGACAACCTTCTTTTTATGGGTGTTAAGCCTAGTTCATCTGCGATATACTCGTAAAACGTGATAGTGTCTGAAGATATAACTACAGCGTTGACAGTTCATACTATACCCATTTTACAGCCAGCAGATGCAATTGAAATGTTGACCAGTCGCATGCGCACTAACAAAACAGTTGATTCTTCCTGTCATTTTCTTGCAACTGCCGCCAGTGCATGCAAATGCCCCTAGGCCCATCCGATGGTTTGTGTCGTTATATTTAATAAATGTTTATATATTAAGGTTAGATTATGTTCTGATGTTGAATGGTCGGCGATGAAAGCCGTGTATTCTGAAGGGTAAACAGCAAAACCAAATTATAGATTAGAAATTTGATGGAATATTTTATTCGTTTAGGTCGTCTAACAGTTCTGCAACTGTAAGTGACTGGATGCACCCTGCAGCAAGAAGAGCTTGCATGCTTGAATGCGATGGTCTTTAGGAGCATTTTCAAAAAGTGAGTGTAAACAACGTTGTCTATTACTCAATTCAAACTTAAATGCAAATTCTTAATTATTCTGAGAGACATTACCAATATTTGTATCGGACTAGTCAGAGTTAACACTAATAAACACAAGATAAATATACAGGGTGGCCCATCAATGTGTGGACGGAATATTACTCATAAGCAAATAGATTTTGGGAAAATCTATTTATGGCATGTTATACATGACCTTTGAGGGCGTATTTCTAAAATAATGGCAATTATACAGGGTGTCCCAATTTAGAACTACATATCAAAGTTGTAATTTTTTAAATACAATGTCTCAAATTTTATTGCATATTTGGATAAAACAATTTAAAAGAAGAAGATTTATATGACATACTATGGGGTTTTGGTAATTAGCTACTGAGATGTAAGGTGTTCTGTCCAGAAAAAACCATTCAATACCTACGGCAACCCCTCAATCCGCCATTTTGAAATTTGGATTGCTGAATTGTGTATCAAAAGAAACTCGCACACCTCAGCTTTTACCTTATTTGTTACTTTTTCGAATTTTCATTTTTGCTCATACAGGGTGGTCAAAAACGCGAATTGTACTTTTTCTCAAAAGTTTCAAATGCATCACCCTGTACATTTGTGCAAGTTTGGAATCAAGTTTTTACAAGCTTTTTTTAGTATAAGTTTTGATCCAGATAAAATGACTAGATTTTGTGTGATTAAGCTTCTAATACATCAAAATTAAGGAAACAAAATCACATCATCCATGGAAACAAAAGGCAAACAGTAGGCTAGTTCCATATTACCACTAAGAGTACAGATTTGATGTAAAAACTAGTAACAATCAAAACAGTATAAATCAGCTTTAAACGTAATTGAGGAAAACAACTATAACAACAACATAAACAAACAACCATCACTACTCAAGACCTAATCTACAAAAACTGCTCGAAAATATCTCCACCATGTTGAATACACGGCTGTAGTCTTTGGATAAATGACCGTTGCACATCCCTCAGCATGTGTTCCCTTATGTTCAGAAAAGCATCCTTAATCCTTTCCTTAGTATTTTCCGGGGTAGATGGTGGTTATCTATAAACCTCTTGCTCAACATAGCCCCATAGAAAGAAGTCCATCGGTGTCATATCTGGTGAACTAGGAGGCCAACATACTCGTATAGGCCTATAGGCCCATCACGACTGATCCAACGGTTGTTCCTCCAGGTGTTCAAATGGTTACGCATACGGTTATGATAATGCGCAGGTGCGCCGTCATGTTGGAAGTACATATGCATCCGAGTTTGCAGGCTGACAGCCTTGAAAAGCAAAGGCAAATGCTCGGTCAAAAAATCCAAGTATTCCTTACCTGTTAATCTGTTGCCGTAAAACAAAGGCCCGATAACTTGTCTGCCAATAACTCCTCCCCAAACATTTAAGCTCCATTTATTTTGAAATCTATTTGCCTAACCCAGTAAGGGTTTTCCGTCGCATAGTACTGCAAGTTACGCCTGTTGACAACACCTATACTGTTAAAAGTTGCCTCATCATGTGAAAGGCGGTCTACCAGATACCATTTTGTCAAATCGATTCATTCTTCCCAAAACTGCTAAATGCACCTAGCTCTAAACCATAATTTCTTCCATTTTCCACATTGCCAGGACATTTCACTGTGCCTAAAATATGCGAACTAAAAGGGAGATGAGCGAATATATTTTCAAGTGTAAGCCCGCCAGACACAGGGCTGTTGAAAATAAAGGCCATAAAGGTATAAGGGAACGAAATATATGGAATATAGCGGGAGGAAGTCTCGCGTGAAGAAAAATTACAATGGAGCTGTATTGCTTATGGCAGCTTTGCCTATTCTCGTTTTTTTGAAACAAGGACGCGACGTAATTTTTTATTTGATACAAATTTCATGGAGGGCTTTTCTGGAACCGTCTACTTAATTTGACAGATAAATGAAGGAGGATTTGCGATGTCACATACGTTTCAGGAGACCATGCCTCTCATTTCCGTCTACGGCTGTTAGAAAGTATAATCTGGAATCTTAATTCTACCTTCAATCGTAACTTGTTAACAAATAATAGAACAGTTCCGAAATTGTGTACATTCCACTTTTATAGAAGAAATGCTTTTCTTGTAAATTGAGTTTTATACAAAATGAGTTTTCAAGAAAAGCGCAGATATTTTGAAGGAAAACGATAATAAAGAAGCTGCTCAAATCTACGATAAAAGTACATACAGTTGCCGAGCTGTATTATAGTTAACAAGTCACGATTGAAGAAAAAATGCACAATAAAATACACCAAAGATGAATTTTATTGAAAAAAAAATGATTACATTATTTTTAGTCATGTATACCATAAAATAGTGAGAAGAAAAGTACTAAGAATACTCCTCCAAACAGGCAGTTGAAAAAAGATGTGTGTAAATAATAAATCTTGATGCACAATTTTCATTCTTTTTTTTTGGACTTTATTTCACCTGCCGGATTACTTCGTCAAAATCTGTTTTCTAGAGTCAACCAGGGCTAAAAGAAAGTATAAGTACATGCAAATACAAAGAAAAGGGAATAAAAAAATAAAAAGTTGTACTGCATTGCAAAATGATCATACTTCGAAGTGACAGTAAAAATAATAGGTAGCAGATAGTACATAGATATATTGGAATTAAAAGAAAACAGACTCCTATACAATACACAAACAAATAATAAGAAGCAAGTGCTGAAACACGCACAAATGAATAATAAATGAAAATAAAATTAAATTAGGAAATAATATTTTTCAATACTTTAGTTGTGCCTTCAATTACTTGTTGTTTCTCAGTCTTCTTTTAAGCAAAGAACCCATGAACCGCTTCAAGTTTGATTCGGCGCCTGGCAGTTGCATTGTGTGTTTCTTCAGAATGGAAACACCTGTACCATCGTGATCCTTCACAGAATGTTTGAAACTATTATCTCTAAAGTAAAATATGGTTGCCACTTTAACGCTATTCGCGCTAAATAATATTGGAAAACCAAACCACCGATATTTCCGGTATGTACCCTGTTTACGCTGCTTAACACTCTATCAAAATTGTGTTGAGGCAAAATTCCTTCTCGCTTAGAGGTTTAATTATTTTGGGTTTAGGAACTGCCGACTATGACACTGTTCGCCTCTGCTGTAACAATTTGCGTCAATTTGAAATGAGTTTGGCGTTGGCTCATTATAAGTTTATGACAAAAATATTGAAAGCTCGCGCTGGTGGTTGGGTTAGAGGTAATAAGGTAAAGTATAAAGCGACAACTAGATTTAGTGGAAAAGAAAGTAATGTTGAACATAATTATCGGTGATTTATTCAGATATTTACAGGGTATTCCTGTAAAAAACTAAAAAAATCTTTAACAGTTGTACGGTCTAATACAGAGTTTTACCTGCAATTTACCTGTCAGAAAAGTGGTATCGAATGAAGTTGTATTTTTTCAACACCCCATATACTTTATAATGGCAAAATGGAATTAGCCCACTGTTTGTCTTTTGTTTCCATGGATGATGTGATTTTTTTCCTTTTGAGAAAAACTACAACTTGCGTTTTTGACCACCCTGTATGAGCAAAAATTAAAATTCAAAAAAGTAACAAATAAGATAAAATCTGAGGTGTGTAAGTTTTTTTTGTCACAAAATTCAGCACACCAAATATCAAAATGGCGAATTGAGGGGTTGCCGAATTGGGGGGCCTTTCTAGTCGAAAGACCTTATGTCTCAGTAGCTAATTACCAAAACTACATAGTATGTTATATCAATTTTCTTCTTTTGAATTGGTTTATCCAAATATGCAATAAAATTTTTGGCATTCTATTTGAAAAATCACAACTTTGATATGTAAGTCGGAATTGGCCAATATTTTAGACATGTGCCCTCAAATGTCATGTATGATATCCTATAAATAGATTTTCCCAAAATGTATTTGTTTATGAGTAATATTCCTTCCACACATGGATGGGCCACCCTGTATTTAGTGTTAGAAAAAAACGACAATTTTTCCACTGAAAATATGATAAAGTTGAAGTTTACACATTTTTTCATGCTTTTGAGAAAAGTACCTCTTAATGAAACGCCTATTAGAATGAGATGGAGCTTTATGCCTGTCAGTCACCTACAATCATTGAAGCATCATACGGAACGAATACTCCAAAAAATTGCTTAAGAAGCAATTACAGGTGGATTTTTGCTAAGTAAGATATTTTTCAAATTCAAATTCAAATTCAAAATACATTTATTTGCAAAAAAACAAAAACAAAAAAAACATTATTTTTTTTATACTCGAACTACCACGAAGGCGTAAGGCCTAAGCACCCATTGGGGAACACGTGTGCATGCAACATGCACACATTCTGGCTCCGCCTACGAAATCCGTCGGGTGGTACCTCCATTGTATTTACCATATTATAGAAAATACACACACTTAATATTTTCGGCAAAAAGGACAAATCTTCGATCAAATGACCGTTAACACCCAGCCTTACATAAGTAGGGTGGGTGTGTGAGAAGATGTTGATTGGATTGGTAGTATCACTTGTCACTATGTACCTTTGTACTGGAGATATTTTTTTATAAATCTGTCACAAAAAATGTTTTTAACTTACCCGTTGATGTGATGACGTGGTGTCCGAGATGGAGAAAGTGTCGACGATGGAATCGAATCTGACGTTTTTCTTGGGAAGAGTCTTCTTGCGAGGTGGGCACAGAGAACACATTTTCTTAGCACTACAGTCTTTAGCGGTAGGCATGTTTTAGTTCACGTTTGTTCATTTGGCACTTACGGCATCATACCAATAATGGTATAGACAAATACTAAGAGCATTTTTACTATCCTGGTCCCTATTACCAGTTAAGAAAGAACATCCACTGTTACCACCGAAGTTATAGAATTTTTGGGCCACCATTTTTTTTTGCTTTAGGACCAAGCCATGCAGCCAGAAACTAGGTTGGTATATAGTATATATCTAATTATGGACAAACAGACGACGTCACAACATCCATGGCGAAGGCGAGATTCGAACTCGCGGCCCGGCCGGCCGGCTGATCAGTAGCACGACACTCTGACCAACGCGGCCAACCGAGGTCCCTGGGCCACCATTCTTAAGAATAATGTTGATTTAGCCGGCATGCTTTGACAGTAGTAAAATACTGGGAAATATTTTAGATCAATAAAAGCGGCGCGCAAAATATAGTCGTAAAACCATATTTTGAAAACTTTCTGCACACTTTCATCGCATTTTATAAGCAGCTTCTATTTTTGTCTGGATTTGAGTCAACCACTCGACAAACAGGCATGTCAACTGCCTTTTTGAAGTATAGTTGTATAGGTACCTAATTAAGCTTGGTAAGTCAAGCGTTTAGCCCAGTCAATGCATAGCAGAGTAGTTGGACAGTTGAAAATTTAACAGAGCTGCCAAATTCATCCATGCAATATGTTTTTATTGGCTGGGCAGAGCAATTCATTAACCATAATGAATAATATATGTGTGAAATGTGGTAAATTTTGACTCAAACAAAATGAGGTAGAGTAGACTCACTCAGTAGTTTAGGTACACGAAAAGTCTAAGCACGGATAAATACCTCATTTCAAGTTTATTGCTGCTGTTGTTGCGACAGGCGGTTGCGGCAAGCGGCAATGTATGGACGAGGGGCGAAGTGAATCATTCACTTGTCAGTTGATCGGCCCTACCAGTAGGGCAGAAACAATTTTTTGTTGTTAATTGTATGGGCCTGATTGAATGACTTGATTTGTTTAATTTCTTTGTCATATATGTTCGCAGCTAGGCTAAACTGTACCAAACATAATTCTTTATGAATTGACGACAGCATTTCATGGGAAGCCAACCTACTCGACGCCATATATTTTTGTTTGGAATATAAATGTCACAGGAACCTTTGCAACGAGAATACACATACCCTTTACTGCATTGTTTGCCTATATCTGCATTTGATTCCCTTCTAATATTACAAATCCGAAAGTGTGTACATACGTTTTAGCAGAGATACATGGCACATTAGACCAACAAGGCCATTATAGGCTTACGGAAGTAATTATTTGAAGGGTTGACTGAAGTAGGGGCTAAAGGCGACTATGAGGAAACTATTATCTTTAAGCCAGTGATATAAAAAATATGGGTCCTTTTATATTTGGTTCTTTGATATAATGAGCGCACTCGTAAAGGAGTTTTGGTGAATAATGATAACGAAAATACCATAGGTAAATAATGAACGCATGCATTCATGTAGGAATTCTTTGGATTGTTGGGCACATAATTGCTATTAAACCCTTTGTCGATTTTTGGATATCACTAACAAATCCTGGTTACTACGAGTAAATGTAGAGACTATTTCATAACTGAAATTATTGTTGTTGATTGTATTTATTTATGTCACTATTATGAGAGCTTGGTGCTACCTTAGCACTGTTCGGACAGCTGTCTCCAACCTTTCAATGATTTGTGTTCAAGAATTCACACGGCCGGAACTCAGACAAGTCCGATCGACAAGTTACCGACCATTGTACGAACAAACCCTTTATGAATTGGAATATTTGAAAATCAGATTTACTACTCTCCTCTGTTTCGGTACCAGGATATATCATGCAGCGACACCATCCCTCCCCTACGCATCGTTCTGGGACGCAGATGTTGCTGCACCTTTATGTGACAGTGTTACCGGACGTTAAGGGAATTCTCATATGCAAAATTTCTGAGTATAAGCAACTTAAATGTGGTGTCATGTTATAGTGGTGAAAAAAATTCTATAAATACGTCGGTGGAGAAGGTCATTATTAATTTGAATACTATATCGCTTGGCGCATCGCGGGCAATAATTGCATACTTCTCCCACAAGGTACGCAATGTGTCATTTCCAAAAGGCACAAAAGAGGATTACCAACTGTCACGCTGCATATCACTTTTCACTTTCCTTGTAGATCAATGCTATACGCGTAGTTACCGGAAAGGAGCTTTTTCGAACACTGAATTCTAGTTGTTCAGTGATAAAAGCTAAGCAGCCGTCGTGTCGATACGATGTTGGAAAACGCGGAATAAATATGCATGAAAAAGCGATAACACCGGTGATAAACAATGCATTAAAATCGGAAATACCTAAGATGGCGGACGCCTTTTGTGAAACAAACAATGGGAATTGGAAACATGATTCATAAGTATTTGTGTTATTTCTGAGCATACGCCAAACGATTGCTGATGTGATTGAGTAATACCATTCATTAACGTATTTTACCTGATGATACCCCAATACTGTATTCCTACGTCCAAAAAATTATGCTATGTGGCGTCTCGTCCAGGATCTGAACGAACAGTTGTGACAAAAAATGTACGGCACTGACTTTTCTGCAATTTTTATCATATTGCTTGGATTAAGCAAATAGAAATACAACTTTTTTGTCTCTTGAATTTATTTCGTGTCTTGCTTAGTTTTCAAGAAAAAAGTCCACTTAATTGCATATCCTTGGATCACAAAGGAATATGGGGAAAGTTTCTTTTGGAAATTATAATTTTTTTATAATTTTTTATTACTAATTATGTAACAACAACAAATAATAAATAACATTAGCATAATTAGTAATAAAAAATAATAACTTCCAAAGATAGGTTTCCACATATTTCTTGTATGCTCCAGAGATATGCAAAAAAGTCAGTGGCGTACATTTTTTTTCACAACTATTCGTTCAGATCCCGGTCGGAACGCCACTGGACTTAATAGGTTTAATCGAGCTAAGGTTAAGTTAGCTCTTTAAGGATATAAATACCACCGCCAAATTACAACAAAATTAGGTAGAGGATATTTAAGATATTAACGAAAAACCATTTTTTTAAAATTTTTACACCCTGTATCTTGAGAAGGAAGATTTTGAAGACCTATGTTTATATGAACTTTTTATCTTAAAATTACTCAATTAAAACCCTGTATGCTGCAGCGCTATCTATGAGACACCAACCTCTTCAAGGTAGATTTTTAATTCATACAGATAGGAGAAACATACCTATCTGTGGCAAATTCTCATAGATTCTACATTATTTCACTTCACTGGAATAATTTTTAGGACGCGATAATATGGTAATAGGTTGGCTATTTTGATGTAGAGTAAGTAAGTCGCTGGTAATACGTTTTGATATTTTTTATATGCAAGCCGTAGGCAAAGCCTGAATACCAGTGCATCGCGACTGGTATGAAGCTAATGGATAGTTGATTGGTCATTCCACATGACTTCTTAAGAATAAAGGCGCGATTGTACCGGTAACTCCTAGGCATATGATAAGAGATGGGTCAGGTTAAAAACCATCATGGAGGTCATCTCAATGAGACAGATTTCGTATATCGTTAGAAAATCAACGTTCCCGTTGTTGTAGCAACATCAGGTATGGACAATGAGTTTGGGACACCAGATCCTAAGTGTGAGCATAGTAAATAAGGCCTGGCGTCATTTTGGACTTTCAATACGGTAATGAGAGTAAGGTTGCGAAGTTATCTGCTTTGTAACTCTCAATATCATACACCAGATCGGTGCAAGATCAAAAACAGGTACATCTCATCGATGAAATTGGTTGATTCAATAATAAGTTACCAGTAGACGGCTTGTGGAGTAATACAGTGTCGGCACTATGGGGTCGCCAAAAAGGGTCAAAGGTAACCTTATTGTCAGGCTTCGCTTCCCCACCATCACTAACTACTATTACTACTACTAACTCCCAACATTATTACCAAAACACTGCCTGATTCATTATTTCCGATTACAATTGGAAGCTTATTCTGATGCTTCGTATTTGATGTCGTGTAATACTAACTGATGATACCGCAACAAACCCATGGTGTAGTTGCTGTTTACATTATTTGATTTGAGTTAGAAAGTAAGTTTACCGTCATAATTTTGAATGGAATTTCAACTAGAAAGTAAGAGTACATTGTCACTAGCAACTATCTTTGAAACGTCCTTCGATGTAAGGGCGTTAGACATAAGCAGGGAGTCCCACAAGAATGTATTTGATACTATTTGAAGTTCTCTAAAAAACAGCTTCGTAACAATAGGTTAGTTTAGGATTGGAAGTGGTTTCCCCGGGAAGCATAATCCACTGACAAGTTCGGCTACATTTGAGAGTTTCCATACTCATGTTCCAGTGTATTCAGCAATATCATAATTTTCATCTTTTAAGACGTCTTGAACATTAAACATTTAGTAATCAGCCCCCATCACACAATGAAAGGATTCAAGGATCGTACCTACCTCTCCCACAATTTTCAGCGCTGTGGCGTTTTGTCACAATGCGTTGACGTATATTTGTCGCAAAACGTTTTGTTTCAGTATTTTTACATGTCCAACAACAAATTTAAACCTTCAAAAGCCCTCGCGCCAAATAAACTGTCCCACATACAGTGCGCCATCTCCGAGCATGAAGGCACACTGCAAGCTACGTGCCTTGCGTTCCGAGTACAGTTTCAATTTTATATGAGCCTGTATTGATCCACCCGGACGAATAGTTTCACGACTGTCCTATAGGTGACGCTGAAGCCGATGCGGTGCGGAGGACCAATGTGATGGAAAAATCGCTCTTAGAGGAGCACAGGGTGGTTGCAGGTATGAATGCATGGCTGACAAACTGAAATATTTCCTCGAAAAAATGGTCAACTATTCGATTTTTGATATCCAAATATTTTACAGTTTGGTAAAGGGATCAATGGATTTTTTTAGTAGCAAGGGGCGTAGGGCTTAGCTCCTCAACGGATGCAGCTCAGCTTAGCCATAAGACTCATTGTGACCACTACCATTTTTTAGTCTCTTAGGAAATTCCGATACTGAAATGGATGCTAACATAAAAAGGTATTATGTATTTTTATTATGCTACTAGTTAGTGTAGTGACAGCAGAGATGCCTCCCTCTACTTAGAAGGCGCAACACATGGTAGAGAGCGGCTATGGCAGAAGAACTTTGACGCATAAAAATATATCAGTCGAAGTCATGAATATTTCCTCAAGAAGTCAAAAAACTCCTTCGAAGCAGCTTCTAGCACAATGGCAACAAAAAGGCGATTGCAGCATGTCCGTAAAACGTTAGCCTCATTTATCTGGAGCTCTATATAATAATTACCTCAGGTAACCTCATTACATTACAGTCCAAGTATAATGCTCGTATATATAGATTTCGCGCCTACGCCTAAGTACATAACGGATCACCTGCTCTTATAAAAACATAAAATTTAGAAATATCGGCTGGAGAGAGGTCAAGCTTTGGCAAACCATTTGTAGATGGCCCTTGTCCTTTATCATTGTCTCGTCAATCTTTGCCTTTGCCTTTGGTGCTAGTTAATCAAACTTTTTATCAAATACTTGAATCAACTGTGAACTAATTCCTGAAATATTTGGTCTAATCACAAAATACGAAAATTAACCTGGTTTGCGAACTACCTGTGAAGTTTGGTTTTATGGATAAAAGTTGTTCAAGGGGGTAGTTGTACGAAAACGTGCTTTTCGGGGTTCAATCAAAGGTGTTGACAGGAAAGAGAAAACTCTTTAGTTAGCGCCTTTTGTTCTACTGGATCTTTATACCACTAAACTGATACTGACAAATGTCAAGCGAACGTTGACGGCATGTCAAATCTGTTATAAACAATTAGAGTAATCTTGAAAACTATACAAGATACGATGCTGAAACTTTAAATAATGTATTAAATAACAATGCCGAGCATTTTGCCTAATTTTTCAGACGGTCAGTTCGCTATAAATATTTAACTATTTGTCTATTATTTTTTCGCTTCTCGAGGTCATTTTCCAACACTTTGAACTCGCAGTCTCTTTAGTGGTACGAGATTGCGAAAACAAATGTATACTATTTTAGAAGTCTCAGAAAAAAGATATCGGGAATTATATTTCTTTGAAAAGGAACTGAATTATGTGACCTACTTATTTGTAAAAGTCATGCAATCATGAATAATGTAGCCATGTAGCACATGCTACATACTAACTAGGCTAAGACAATTTTAAACATAATTGTGTCTTCAGCTTGCCTGCTAAGCAGTTCAGTGCATTTTAGTATGGAATTATTTTTTTCATAAACTTTAAGGATTATCTGTGATCGTGTAAGAATTTCAGCTCTAAATATTTATTCAACAGAGTATGAAGAAATATAAAAAAAGGTTTCCTTCGCTAAAAAAAGCTATAGGCACATGCGCTTTGTTTTAAAATGTCTATAATAACGTATCGTATGTTTTTTAATATCGTAGCGGATCTGTTCAATTACTTTCAAATACGAAATGTTTGAATTTGTCTATATGAAAAAAACGCAACCCTTCGTTTTTCGCATAAAAATAACTTTCAACTTTCGAAATGGTCTATGATTCATATAGACGATGTAAGCTCGTGCATTTTGGTATGAAATGCCCTTTGAACGAACCTTGCATATTGCTCAATAAACTAGTAGTGATGACCGGAAGTACAGGTATTTTGGGATAAACAATTAAAAATTCTCAAAAACTACTTAGCTCATCGACTCCAATGTTTTTGTGGTTATTGAAAAGTACAAGGCCTACGGATGTGAGGAATTTCAAGTATCTGAGTGACAATATCGTCCCATTAGCAAGAAGTATTAAAAGCTGTATTTTAACTAGGTCTTCGGCCATAACTTTTTTGTTTTTAGTCGAATCTTCTTATATGTGGTCTCATTTTGTAGGTCTTGTAAATACCTAAAAATCTTATTTTAGAGTTTTTTCATTCCTGCCAACACTTTCGATTGAATCCCAAAAAACAAGTTTTCTCATTCTTTGTTCTTGATTAAAAAGTATTCCAACAAAAATTGGTGTACCCATTTTATACGTCCATGTTTTAAATACCCCATTGAACAAGTTGCACTGATAAAACCAAACTTTACAATTATTTCTGGAACATTTGCTACTATAATTAGACTAAATTACTAGGCCCACGTCAAGTGCCATCCATAGGTACGCAATTCGTTGTCT